TTAATTTTGGTTGAAATTTCATTATTTTCGAATTGTTTAATTTTGGTTGAAATTTCATTAATTTTCGAATTGATTAATTTTGGTTGGAAGATCAGATACCAATCCCATTTACGTTGTTCTGAATTGTCAATCCAAATATATTTCTGCATTCTGCTTCATAGGGATACTGCAAATTGCACTTGAAATTAAAATGTTTAATTATTCAATTATTATTGATTTGTTTTGGTGCATAATCTAAAGGGTATAGGTGATTTCTTATTTATTATTTATAGGAGTATCTAAAGCCATTTTAAACATATTTTAAATAAAATGAATTTTATTTTTTTATAGATTCCAAAATAGGTTTCTTGATGAAAAATAAGTTAGTGGTTATCTTAATTAGAAGTTAAAGGAAAGGTCATTTTTTGTTTGTTTATAATCATAAAAAATATTTTTAAAAATATTATACGACAATTTATTTCAAATAGGTCGAGTTAAATTAAATTTTAGATTTTCTTGGCTTATGGTTCTCCTGAAAATTCAAAATAAATATGCATAAAAAAATTAAAAGGAAATAAGAAGTAGTAGCTTTTTTATTAGCAAAAGCTATAAAAATGGGCCTATAATCTAAAACAAAATTTGTAAAATCTCACTGAAATACATGCCTAAAATACGGAGTTCTTCATTATTGGTACAATTCCATGGACTCTAAGTCTAATTCTCCACTGCCATGAAGAAAAGGAAAGAAAAACAAAACAAAATCATTGATCATATGCAATTGTTCCTCCCCATTTTCTCACACGACCCTCTGCTTCTTCAGCCTGTGAAATCCATTGCGACAACAGTAAAATTTGAACATATAAGATTACTTACAACAAATTTGAACAAAAGAAAACATTATTGATTCCAATTGGAACATTTAACTTCAAACCTTAAACTCTTGCAAGATTAAATTAAAGAGAGGGAGAATAATAAATGTAGAATGTGCTAACCTCTTTTTTCCAATTGGTTATTGAAGTGACTACTATAAGGATTATGGTCTGCAAAACTATGCCTGCAATCATCCCTGACCAAATACCCTGCATTACACACAGACATGAAGAGTAATATCAAAACTATTGCTATGACAATATATTGTAGAACTTATGTCAAAACAAAAAATTGCAAAACTATGACACAAACCAAACAATTAAGGTTCATGATGTACATTTTGGATTAAGTTTTTCATACTATAGAGACATTTTTTCATATTGTCCCTCAAAAGAGACCGTACCAGAAGCTCAAGTGAGAATCTGAACTCAAAAATAACATAATGTGAAGAGAATGTAAGGATGGTAAATCACCACTACTCCAAAATTAAGTGTAAATCCCAAGATTATTCCTGCTGGTAATCCAAATACATAATAGCACCCAATGTTGATGTATGCTACAAGAGATTGCCAACCAGCTCCAACAGCAACACCTAATGAAGTTTTATCATGGAAAAAGTTATGAGATTTAACACACACATATAGCAAAAACATGTACTTAACAAATTTTATGCCTTAAAACTTGCATTTAACTTGTGAAAAAAAGGATGTGTAATCCTTGATTGGATGATGTAATTTGAGAGTTTTTAGTTTGTGGGAGTGACTAACCAGATAGGACTGGTTGAAGGCTGTTTAGAAGCACAGTGACACCGAGCAAAGCAGCAAGCTTAGTTGTTTCATGCGCAACTGCAGAGCTGGTGGTAAAAAAGTAGGGGAAAAAATCCTTTGTTGATAGCACTACGATCATGACCACAAAACCTATGGCCACTGATGTGATTGAAACCACCCACACTGAAAACCTTGCAGCCTTGAAATCACCAGCACCAAGTTCATTTGACACTCTCACACTGTCCATCCATTAAAACAACTCATTTAGAATCATTCTTCACTCACTAGTAGAAAAGTCTAAAAATAACATAAGTAAAAAGTTTTTTCTTTATTAATGTTATGAGAACATACCTTATAGCAGCATTGAACCCAATTGCAATCATGGCATCCCAGCCATTAATGTTCATACTGCAAACATCAAAACAAGTATTAGTACTCAATTTTAATCTCTCTAAAAGCACTAAAAGCATTATTTTTGTGTGTTGAAACAAAGGGTCTGAAAACATTTTTAAGCCAATTCTATTTCAACTTCTGCAACAAAGAGACATTGGAGGGTTAGAAAATTATTCACCAGATAGATATGGCATCAACAGGTATCAGAGGATTTTCCAAACGCCCTGTTATCACCACCAGTATCATCAAATACCAGAACTCCAAGCTGCCACAATATTCATTTCAGAAGGTCAAATTTAGCACCAAACATAATGAACTTCAATGCAGAAAATTAAGCAAGCCAGTGAAAATACCATAGCATAACAGCTGAAGCAAGAGAAAGCTTGACAAAACCAAACAAGTCCACAAATGCTAGCCATGTGAATCCAGTCCATGCTCCATCTGACTTTGTGATGAGAATGTAGAGCAGTTGTGCAATCACAATCAACCACCATGATGTGTTAAGAGTGATAGCTGCTCCAATCAGACCCCACTCCAGCTTCAGTATAAGAAGCCAGCTAAAAACTGTGTGCAGCACCAAAACACCCACTGATACCCATAACATGACCAACACTTTCCCTTGTGCCTGCAAAAACTTTTGGATTGGAAAGTTTATAGCATATGCAAATAACTGGGGTATCATCCACAGAGCAAATTTTCCTGAAAAAACAAAGCAGATTGAGTTCATAATATTTGAAGTCAGTGTTTTGAAGAGAAATAGGAAAGTGAATTGTAACCTGCAGCATGTGAAATCTGAGCTGTTTGTCCAAGCAACACTAAAATTGGGGGTGACCAAATATAAATAGGTAACATAAGAAGTGCAGTGATGAACAAGATGACCCATGATCTCTGCATGTACACTCCCAACATCGTCATCTGTCCTGCACCAAAAGCTTGCCCACACAGAGTCTCCAAGGCACTTCCCATTCCCAACTTATCACAACACCAACAACATAAACAATCCATCAAAATAAAAATAAATAAAAATTAAAACTGTACGTACTTTTACATATTTAAATAATATATAAAATTGAAGTCATTGAGAATGTCCTGATAAAGATTTTGCATGCAAATATAATTTTCTTTTATGTCTAAAAAGATTAAAATGCATTAAATTCGTACTACAAAATACTACATCTTTAGCCCAACTTTTAAATAAAATATTTCCACTTCAAAATTATGCATTAAAACACAAATTCCTTATAATAAAATAGTGACTAAAACACGATTTTTTTTCTTTAAATTAAATATTTTACTAATTTTAGTAAATTTTCTACAACACTTATAATAGATTGACTTTTTTTTTCATTGTATTTTATAGCTATTCACACGTGAATATCAGTTCTGAAACAGTTGAAAAAAGAAAAGTTTGTGATCATGACGTAGAACCTCTCTCCACCACACTACTGAAGCCTATATTCAGATTTAGCTTTTAGTAAATGAAGTCGTGCTAATTAATACTTTGCGAAAATATAGCACTGCTTACGTATATAAACATATTTTTATTCATAAATGCATGTAAATAAAATAATTATATATGAGAGATATTTAATTATTTTGTAAAAAGTATAATTCTTCATTTTTATTATTTGACTAAATAAATCGGAGAACTCAAGAAGATTGAAGAAAAATATCATTAAAAATACATAAAAATTAATAAAAAATAAGAAATCTTTCACAAATTATGCAGACAGTGCCACCCAGAAAACCAAACAAATTATGCAGACAGTTTTCCGAAGAAAACCAGACAGATTATGCAGACAGTGCTCCCCAGAAAACCAAACAAGTTTCTAACGTGACATTATGGCAAACAGTTGAAGAAAATCGAAAAGGAGAAGGCATGAAATGGAAGACAAAGGTAGTTTGAGGGTACCATGACTCCAAAAGCAAGACCTGCAACGACGGAGTTTTCTACAGAAACTGCTGCAAGAGCAAGATCATCAACATGGCCTGCAAAAGTTTGAGTGAGTGCACCTAGCGAGTACTGACATATACAGGTGAGGATAGCGGGGCCTGCTAGTCTCCATAGCTTCTTTGATTCAAAAGCAAAACTCTTAACAGCAAACTTGAGTGTCTTTTCCTCAGCAGTGTCAGGATTCTCAGTGTTCTGTAGCAAGGGAGTGTCCATTGACATGTTTGGTTTCTTGAGCCACTTCTTCTGTCACTGATATTTGTTTCACTTAGAAAACTCAGAATTTCTGGTGGCGTTTGAATATCAGACAAACTCTGGTTTAGCTTTTATATAGTGTTAGGGAGTGTTGAAGTTGTAACTGAGATCATGGGAATGGCAAGTGCAGAGATGTGGAGGTTTTACCAACTGCAATTAATAAGTATTAAAGAAGGCGTCGGAATGGTAGCTAAGGTATTATGGCCAGTAGAAAATTGAGGTACTCTTTTTTTATATAAATAGAATATTTTAATTTAATTTAATCTTGATTTTTAAGTTTTATCTTTAAAGTTATAAATTAAAGTGTTTGAGGTTGAATATTTATTTTAAATAATTCTTTTCACCTTTCAGCTTTCTTCTGTTGTTAGTATTTTAATAAATAAATTATACTAATATTCTCNTTGCACTTGAAATTAAAATGTTTAATTATTCAATTATTATTGATTTGTTTTGGTGCATAATCTAAAGGGTATAGGTGATTTCTTATTTATTATTTATAGGAGTATCTAAAGCCATTTTAAACATATTTTAAATAAAATGAATTTTATTTTTTTATAGATTCCAAAATAGGTTTCTTGATGAAAAATAAGTTAGTGGTTATCTTAATTAGAAGTTAAAGGAAAGGTCATTTTTTGTTTGTTTATAATCATAAAAAATATTTTTAAAAATATTATACGACAATTTATTTCAAATAGGTCGAGTTAAATTAAATTTTAGATTTTCTTGGCTTATGGTTCTCCTGAAAATTCAAAATAAATATGCATAAAAAAATTAAAAGGAAATAAGAAGTAGTAGCTTTTTTATTAGCAAAAGCTATAAAAATGGGCCTATAATCTAAAACAAAATTTGTAAAATCTCACTGAAATACATGCCTAAAATACGGAGTTCTTCATTATTGGTACAATTCCATGGACTCTAAGTCTAATTCTCCACTGCCATGAAGAAAAGGAAAGAAAAACAAAACAAAATCATTGATCATATGCAATTGTTCCTCCCCATTTTCTCACACGACCCTCTGCTTCTTCAGCCTGTGAAATCCATTGCGACAACAGTAAAATTTGAACATATAAGATTACTTACAACAAATTTGAACAAAAGAAAACATTATTGATTCCAATTGGAACATTTAACTTCAAACCTTAAACTCTTGCAAGATTAAATTAAAGAGAGGGAGAATAATAAATGTAGAATGTGCTAACCTCTTTTTTCCAATTGGTTATTGAAGTGACTACTATAAGGATTATGGTCTGCAAAACTATGCCTGCAATCATCCCTGACCAAATACCCTGCATTACACACAGACATGAAGAGTAATATCAAAACTATTGCTATGACAATATATTGTAGAACTTATGTCAAAACAAAAAATTGCAAAACTATGACACAAACCAAACAATTAAGGTTCATGATGTACATTTTGGATTAAGTTTTTCATACTATAGAGACATTTTTTCATATTGTCCCTCAAAAGAGACCGTACCAGAAGCTCAAGTGAGAATCTGAACTCAAAAATAACATAATGTGAAGAGAATGTAAGGATGGTAAATCACCACTACTCCAAAATTAAGTGTAAATCCCAAGATTATTCCTGCTGGTAATCCAAATACATAATAGCACCCAATGTTGATGTATGCTACAAGAGATTGCCAACCAGCTCCAACAGCAACACCTAATGAAGTTTTATCATGGAAAAAGTTATGAGATTTAACACACACATATAGCAAAAACATGTACTTAACAAATTTTATGCCTTAAAACTTGCATTTAACTTGTGAAAAAAAGGATGTGTAATCCTTGATTGGATGATGTAATTTGAGAGTTTTTAGTTTGTGGGAGTGACTAACCAGATAGGACTGGTTGAAGGCTGTTTAGAAGCACAGTGACACCGAGCAAAGCAGCAAGCTTAGTTGTTTCATGCGCAACTGCAGAGCTGGTGGTAAAAAAGTAGGGGAAAAAATCCTTTGTTGATAGCACTACGATCATGACCACAAAACCTATGGCCACTGATGTGATTGAAACCACCCACACTGAAAACCTTGCAGCCTTGAAATCACCAGCACCAAGTTC